TATTTTTGGGTTTTGATCTGGCATTTCCCCAGTTTTAGACTAAATTCATCTATAAATAAATAAAACATGAATCCATAATGAGCATTATTGGCAGCTGAGTTTCCTGAGCCGCCTGTGTTTACCTTTCCATTTCCCTCCATTTACCTGTGAGGAAAAGGACTGAATGGATAGCTTTGTCACTTTATGTTGTTTATCTAGTGTCAGGGCTTTATCGTCTGGCTCACACGTGAACCGAATATCTTTTCCTCTTAGCTCAGTTAAGTCGTGGGGTCTCTGTTTTGTTTTTAAGGAGCCTAGTGAATCACAAGGCTCAGGAGGAATGTAGCTTTAGGCCAGTTTTATGCCAGTTTATAATGAAGCTCTTGTTTTCCACTGTGTGTTTTTCTGCTGAGAAAGCTCTGCAAGGGTTTTTTTTTTATTTATTTCCTTCAGCCGCCTTCTGACCCAGAAACGAAAGCAGCAACCCACAAGGCCAGGCTGTGAAAAGCGGTCGTTTAGCTTGTGTGAGTAGAGAAGTACATTACTTCCAGAGGTGTTTGTCCTCCTCATCATCTACTGTAATGTTCCCCCCCCCCCCCACACACACAGTCATGCACTTCATAATCCTCTCTGAGAAGAATTAGACGAAGAGACTTTGTTTTTTTTGTTGTTTCGGTGAGAACATGAGCTGATGCCCCCGGCTGTGCACACTCAGATGGGTTGTGTGTAGGTTTGGAAACAACGGGACCGAACTTTCCGCTGCTTTTCTGGCTCTCTGCTGTTCGGTTCTGTCGTTTCTTGCATGTCGCTGCGTCTCCCTGTAAGTTTGGGGATATGAGAAAGCTCGGTTTTACTCCTAGATGGGGTAAAACTTTAAAAAAACTCAACTAGTTTATACTGCAGGAAGGAATTTGTGGAATTGTCGCCCTGGTTTCTACACACACACACGTATTAGTGGAGGTTATTTGGGGCTCCGTGTTCATTTACAGGTAATATTAGCCCAAAAAGAGACTTGAACAATGACTCAAGATAAGGTAGAAAAGGACACTTCCCTTTTTAAGGACGACATTATCTATTGTAATCAAGAAACCCAACATGAACTGTTTAGTCCCAGAGGTTTTGGAAGCTCTGCTGGCCTTGAAAAGCAGCGTTTTTGTCGGGTTTAGGGTCAGAAAATACCCAGATTGTTTGATTTGACAGGGAAAAAAACCCACTGAGGCTGAATCAGTATGACTTTCAGACTTGATTTCAACTTCCCTTTTTCACACAACCGTCATCACCATCACCATCGAGTCTTTTCAGAGAGATGGAACGGGCTTGTGGTCGCTCTCACACCTGAAAATAGAGGAAGTGAAGCACAATGAATCTGTTTTCTGCGGCGTTTTGACCGGCAGCGGTTGACTTCCACAGAAAACCGTCTCCTTCCTCTGGCTGAGAAGTTGTTTATCTGTTTAAGACACAATAGCTGTGTGAGTGTCTTTATGCTTTTATATCATGATAGAAGAACGCTTTTGTTCTTCATTTTCCAGAGTGGCAGCAACTAACTCTTATAAGGTAATATGTTTCTGATTTTTATGATTTAAATGTCCTAATATATGTAAAGAAAAAAACAACCAAAACGTGTCATAAACAGAGAACAGAAAACTAAATAAAAACTTCCAAAAAGCAGTAAATAAAACAAAAATAACGTATTTTCTGTGACGTGGAAGTTAAATATGAAGATTTATATGATGCTCATAAACGTATCTTCCCCCGCAGCTGTTTCAGCAGCATGCGACGTTGTGATTGGACAGTTCTCGCTGTTGCTTTAAACATTAAACTGAGAATTTTTTTTTTATGGTTTTACAAGAAAGGCAGGACGTTGCAGGAAACCCTGATTGTTGTGGAGGATGTTCGGATTCACCTTTGTTACAACTAGAGCTGCACAATGTGCTACAAACATCCTATTGCAGTTACTTTGATGGTGATTGAAGCTACTAAAACCCCGATGGTGTGACATTCGTTGTTGTCTGTACCAAACAAACATGTTTTCTTCCATCTGGAGAACAGTATCTGTAATACAGCACTTCATTATAATGCTTCACCGATATGTAAATCGCAGCTTCTGCAGTGTTCATATTGCGGTTTTGATCATTTGGATAAACCGTGCAGCCTCAGTTACAGCTTGTTTCTTTCTGTTTCACAGGTGAAGTGATAAACTGGCCAGCAGAGACGTCCGCTGCGATGTCCCCATCGGTCTGCTGACAGCGACACTGAGCAGAGGGAGGCAGCTGGAAGCTAGCTAGCTAGCATGCAGCACTGGCCCGGCGTCTCCGGGAGGCGGCGCTGCTGAGAGGCGAGCGGTCGGTGCTGAGCGCGCGTCTGCCGAGCCGGGCCATGGACGACTTCACCACCAGGACGTACGGCACCAGCGGCCTGGACAACAGACCTCTGTTCGGGGAGACCTCGGCACGGGTACGAGCCTGGAGGAAGTTTTGAACTGGGACTCTGATGCAGGTTTCACTATTTTAGAGCAAAAAAGTGTTTAGTATTTAGACAAAGAATAGTGACAGGGCGCTGCTGGTGTCCCATACAACCCCTGCTGCGCTCTTAAAGGGCCGGTGTGGAGGATTTAGTGGCATCTAGCGGTGTAATCGCAAGCTTCCTCGCTTCCTCCTCCCCTTCAGTGTGCAAAGGAGAAACTGCGGTTGCTGTAAATCAAGCAAACAAAATCTAGAGCCAGTGTTTTTGTTTTGAGTCCACCGTGTTTTCTACAGTACGTGGACTTCATGGATGGTCTGTAGTTAAAAAAACGACTCATTCTGTGGTCACAAAAACATCACAGTTCTTATTTTCTAGTGATTATACACTCGGGAAAACATTATGCATATTCTATTCAGTTTCTGCCAGTAGATCCTCCTAAATGTTACACACTGGACCTTTTTAAGGAGAAGGGTAAGGTTTTAAATAGTAATCCATTTCCAAGCACTTGTCTGGAAGGTAAAAATTATAATATATATTGATAATGCACCACAACAACCTCTGTTTAATATATTATTATTTAACTCTGAAACTGTCAGCCTGGCGTGCATCTGTATGTTTCTAATCCTTTTAATTTCTATAAACTTACGTGTTTAATTGTCTTTTTTTACAGGATCGAATCATCAACCTGGCAGTGGGGGGATTTACATCTTTGGTTGTTCTAGTAAGTACGAATCTCCTGCAGCCTCACTGCGTAACACTGTATGTCGAGCGTGTGTTCTCTCTTGTTAGAGGTAAGTCATCATGATGCAGAGTAAAGTCGAACGGACACTTCATTAGCAGACACACAAGAGCACCAACAAATACAAAGAGTTATGTAGTTCGGACCTGCGATATAAATGTAAAAAAATGCAGCTATGTAAAGGCGTTTATGTGCTTCTATGTGGAATGCGTATTATTAACATTTGAAAGGGTAATGTAGGATTCCTTTTAAGTCTAAAAAGCTCATAATTGATCCACCGTTTGAGCTTTAGAGTGATTAAAAGTCTTACATACTGATATATGTCAGCACGGTCCAGTTCTTAACACTGCCTGCAAATTGTTAGTACCACATTGACTGTGTAGCATATTTGCTTTAACATGTCGAGGGCCCTTTCATAATTAATTTTCTGATATTTTACATTAGTAGTTTCAGAACATTGATTAGTCAGCATTAACGGCTGTGGCTCCACGAGACCTACACGCACCGGTGTTATGATTCGAAGCATCTCAAGTCGGGACTTTTTCCCTTTTTCCATGTTGAAAATCACTTTCCTGGTCTATAAAATAAGACCTGGACATCTAATTTTCCTCAGAGGAAAAGGGGAGTTTGTGGCTGAAACAATGACTCAACTGTTTTTACTTCTCCAAAGAGAAAAGTGTTACTAAACTCGTGGTTTCTTGTCCGTTTCCTGACTTTTTCCTGCGCTGTATGCTGTCCTTTAAAGGAGCTCTGTAGGAGCCCAGTCTGTATTTTGTTTAGTAATTGATGTTTTGTGTTAAGTGTTTAGATAAATAAGTGATTTTATTGATTAAGTTAACTGAAAAGTTTAGCTAATAATCATTTAATTTAACTTTAAGTGTGATATTTTGTAGGTTACTGTCTCTTTAAGAGAAATATGTCCGAGCCACATGATTTTCTCACCGTAGTACAGTTTGCTGATTGGGAGAGCTTCATTTTGAATACTTCTGTAAGAAGATACTACAAAACTATGGAGTAAAACAATACTTATTATTTAAATCTGAGTCCTGTGGAAGTGTTTCCTGCTCCAGTGAATGTACACGAGTTAGGCCAAGCAGCATATTGTGTAAAAGTGGTTTGAACACTTACGTAAACATAGCGATTGCAGTCTGACTTGAGTCGGACGTACGTAACACTTCTGGTAAAAGATGCCACAAGCTGATTGATGTCACATTAACTCTCTCGGCTCCAGCAGGACGTCAGCGTTCCCGTTCACTGTTCAAGAGAAGCCTGCAGGCAAAAACCGACTGGTCTATCTGGCTGTCATTGGGCGTATCAGTAGCTTCTGGTTCTCATGAACCAATTTAGCTATCGTGCTTGCTTCATAATAACACTCCTTATGTGTTATTGCGGCAATCCAATCCACACGGGAGCATCGAAGTCTGGATGTGTCTACTTAATGGCGGAAGAGGCTCTTCACTGACACTGTTCTTTGGTTTTCTTTATCAGTGCTTGACCTGTTTTATCTATTCGTTTTAAGGCTGTTCTGTAATGAACTCTGTAATCTACCTGCATATAATCCATCATAAATCTCGAATGTAACTATATTCACATCAAATTCTTCATGTTGAAATATTCCTGGTTATTCTGTAGTTATTTTTTAGTACAAAATGCCGTTTTTGGCCCAGGATTGAAAGGGTTAAAGTGCAGCAGCACAAGGTTTAATAAACAGAGAGAGATTCTGTTCGTGCGTCTTCTCCTGCCTTTAAAGAGCACTGTAATAAAGTTATCAGAGCTGCTCTTCAGGGGATAAAGCCCTTTTCAGATGGAGCACCACAGATAGAAGAAGACAGCAGCGTCCTCAGTGACCTGTCTAAGAGGAAAACCCAAAATGTCACGATATTTCAGAAGCGTTTGGAGGGGTTTTGGAAATTGTATTTTGTGTTTAACGTTCATCCTGTTTTGTCTTCCAGGTAACTGTTATCAGTTCCTTTGTGTTCCCCTCGCTGCCTCCACGACCGCTTAATGTCTTCTTCGCCGTGTGCATCCTGTTAGCCTGTGGATCCACTATAGTGCTGGTAACACACACACATTTCTGTCACTGTTTCCCAGTGTTGGGATTAACGCCTTACTGTAATTCCACTGCTTTTTATGGTTTAATGTCACCGACTTTACTGTAGACAGTTCAGCTAACTACTGTAGCAAAGCTCGGTTAGTGTTTACATCATGTTTACATTATGCAATATTTGTAGGTATAGTACATTACTGTCACATGGTTTACATCCATGTAGATATTCTTCTACTAAATCCTCCTTTCTACCAACCAACACAATAAATGTAGCTTACAGGTATGAATTCTAGTCGTTGCTGCCTCCGGTGGTCGGGAGTATTAATAACCTGGAGCAGACATTTAGAAGTAACACAAAAGTTACTTTACCTAGTAAATAATTACTTTTATATGCAGTAATTGGTAAAGTGATGAAATTACTTTTGAGAGGAGTAACTGTGGCTGTGGGGTGCTATCGCAGAAGGACAATTCATTGGCTCTGGAAAGTGCTGAATTGGGCACGTTTTACTGTTGGCTGACACTTTTAGGCTAAATTATTAATCAATTAATCATGAAAATGATTGGCAATGGGAATAAATAATAACTTTTCTCCATTTATGTCGTTAGTGGAAGCTCATTCTGAGCTGTCCTCACTACCAAATGACTCTTTTTCCTCTAAAACGGTGATGAACATGAATTTTGTGGCTTAATAATTTAACATTTTTGGTGTTTGGTGTTTTTTCTTGTGAAATTTGTTGGAAAAAAAAACCCAAAACAAGGATGTTTATTAATGTTTCCCCCCTCCTCAGATATTCTGGTACCGGCAGGGCGATCTGGAGCCTAAATTCAGGAAACTGATCTACTACATGCTGGTGTCCATCGTGCTGCTGTGTCTATGTGCCAACCTCTACTTCCACGACGTCAGGTAAAAGGCAGGGACGAGGAAGAGGAGGAAGAAGAAGGGAAGACATGGCCTTGACACGCGGAAGGACTACGTGGAGAGACAGACGGACCAACACACAACAACAACAACAACAACAGAAAAAAACTCATCACACACTTGAATGAATCTCCCACCTGACCTGAAGCAAACTAAAGACTCTCGGACCAAAACCAGTGAATCTTAATGGTTCCAGTGGGATGAAAACTGTCAGACTTTTTTTTGGTGCCGAAACATAATGCACTGAACACACACACACACACACACACGTCACAGTGTATAAATCATGATGTACTGTTATAGGCCATAAATCTGCCTGGAGACACACAGCTGGAGGAGGGACTTTGAGTTGAAACCGACGTGTTTATATGAACATAAAGTCACAACAACAAGCACTTATGAGAAAATATAATGGGTTTAATAAGAGTGGGATACGCAACAGTTAAAGGAAAAATCTGCCCTCTGATCCCGTGGCTGTAGGTCCCATCTCGTCTGCGTAATGTCTCCTTACATGTTTTTCTTCGCCCTCGAGTTGTCAATTAACTGTATTTATATCTGCTGTCAGAAAAAAGGGGGCTAAATGTTGCTTTCAGGCATTGCGGGGGCACAGTGTTAAATTATATAAACCTCTTAATCAAGCCGCATAATCAAGAGCTGTGTCTCGTTTCAAGCGACGCCTTCGTCAAAGTTCGCTTTTTTTTGCCCGAGACCAAATTTAACGGCCCATTCAGAGTGAGACAACGTCACCACGTTGGGTTACAGGAACCGGGTCGATGAAGAAGCCGCTGCAGGGAGTAAATAATGGAAGATAGAAGATATGAAACGTCCCAATTCTGTACTACATGCAAATATCGTAGAGTGTTTACTGCTGTCAGAGTTTACAGTCTTTCAGTTGGTGTACGAGAATGTAATTCACCGTTTTGCACCAGAAGGATTTGATGCAATACATGCGCTCATCAACGTCAGTCAAACTAAATGTTTTTCCAAAGATTTAATACTTTTTTAGGGGGGGAGGGGTTTCAAAATCTTCCTGGTGCTGTCATCCTCACTGTCTGTAATTCAAATGTTTACACCTGTGAGCAGCACCTCCAGTTCCTCTGTGCATTGCATTGTGGGCAATAATGTACATCAACAGCCCGCTCAGAAAACAAGGGGCTTTTGTATAATAATGTAGTTAATGTAGTATGAAATTGGGACGCTCGCAACAGCAGTCTGCTCCGTTTTTGACGGCTTTTTGAAACTGAAGATGTTTTCAACATAAAACTGAAGATTCATTGATTGTCAAAATAGGTGCAGATCAATTTTCTGTCAGTTGACTGATCCATCGACTAATAATAGTCTATAAATGTCTTAAATATAATTTTGACAGACCTTTGATTGGCAATTGATTGAATTGAATTGAAGTTATTTGTATTAAAATGAGTGTTTTTGGAAAATAACCCTATTGATTGAGCTATAACAAATACAAATTGACACACAGAACCAAATACAATATTTTCCTTCATATCCTTTGTACTTTCTTTCCCGTATAGACATGAAATAGGTCTTAAATTGCATTCATAATGACCATAAAAAGTCTTAAATTAAACCTGTTGAAACCTGCAGAAACTCTGAAACCTTTTTTAGAAATCAGATTTCAGGCTAAAGTTGAGGCTTCTTGGTGATAAACCCAGGCCTTTTTTGGCCTTAAGTTGACAAAGACCACCTGAATGCACCGTTAGATTTGTGCCCACTAAGCCTTCAGTCCTCCCATAAACCACATCTACAGCTTTGACTTCTTGAGGCCACGATTGGTTTTTCTGGTTGGGGTTTTTTGTTCTTTATGCGTTTGTTGGACCTGTCACTTTAAATCTGACTTCATTAACTGACAATTAGGTTTTTATTCTCTGCCGTCAATTTGTAGCTGCTGGACACATCGACTCACAGCGAGTCGATATTCACGTGAAAACACTCGCTACGATTGTTGTTTTAACAGATTTTAACACGGGTGGATTTTTCCTTTAACCCGGGTGGAGATTATAAGCATGTAAACACGTGGGGGGGGGGGTTGATGGACCCTCCTCTTTCAGTAATGTGAGACTGTAGTAAGAACTAGCTAACACAGCAATAGCACTAGCAGCTTCAGGGTTCTGTGGGGCGAATATATGCAACAGTTTCTATGTTTTTCTCTGCTTCTTTTTTCTGCTCTCTCAGCTTATCTGATTATCAACGGTTGGATTTAATTAATTCTCCAAAATCCAAGTCTTGCTAAGAGGATTGTTTTTATTAGAAACTCGGTTTAAAAAATACTGAATTACACTGACCACCAACTGCCAATTCTTGCACTAAGTATTGGTTGATTTACACTTTTGTCTAAGCCATACACACACACACAACACACACCACACACACACACACCACACACAGCAGGCCAGCTGTAGTTGGCCAATGGAAAATGAATTGGGAACAAATACATGGGGCTTTACACTGAGGCTGCACAGCATGACAGATCTTTTACATGGTTTCTAATATCACATTGATGCGTTGCCATCGAAATTTTTGCACTAATTATTCTGCCATTTATAAAATCTGAGCTGGGCTTTCCGGCGTCTGTAGCACAAAGTAGCTTTAAAGTTGTATTTCTCTGCTTTATGTTTTTACATCAAATAATCATGAAACACACTCGGTATTGTAGGTCTGTTTAGCTGAGCACATTCACTGGTGTGAAATCAGGTTTGTTTTGGATGTTGCAGGTTAGAAAAACCCTGTGGTTTACAGACCGTCTTTCACACAGTCTTTGCTTTAGTGACCCCAACATGCAAGTAAAGAAAGAAAAGAAACAAAATGACTTTTTAACCTGGAATTGAGCAATTATTGATTATTTTCTTGATTGTTTGGTTAAGAAATGTTAGAAATAGTTTTTCAAAAAAAGCCTCTGAACTTATCAAATTGTTCGTTATGTCGTACCAAAAGTCCTGATCTCTTTTAGAGAAGACAAAGGACCAGAGGAAGTATTATGCTTGTTAGATTCATCTTTGAATCTTCTGCCAACTAATCGATTAATCATTTCAGCTCCATGACCAAGAATAAATCAAGAAGCAGGGCTGCAACAAAGAGAGACAGATTCCTCCTGTCTTAGAGACCCTGTAGGTTCACATCTTCTGCCAAAGTCTAATTCTGGTGTCAGGTTTGGACACAGAATCCAACTAAACTTATTGTCAACAAATCCCACGAACCAACAGCGTTATCGTTCATCTATCAATACTTTCTCACTTCCTCTCACTGGTTCCTACTCGAGACATGAATCTCTTCATAAAGGAGTGAATAGAGCACTTATTGGGGACTACTGTCGGTGGTGGATTAATCCACATTTGGTGCTCTAGTGCACCAGATTCCCCAATGGGGTAGGCTCTACCCTCACTTTGAAGTACCTGAAATAATTATACTGCGAGTTGAATAAAAATATATATAAATGTAAATTTGATAAATCACGTTTTATATTCATTATTGTTATTTTCAGTGCAGTCGTAGCTGCTGTAACACCTCTGGACCACCTCTGGAATAGACAAAGATCCTCAGTGAAACTCACGTTTCTCACTAAGTTGTGCATCGTGACAAAAATGGGTTTGATGGAGTGTTTTTCTTTTCTGATGCAGCACTGTATTGTACCTCTTTATATCTTTATTTTAACCACTGCTCCAGTGAGTATCGGCTGCTTGCACTACAGACATTTTGGCGTGCCAAACACAGGAAACACACAAGGTGTATTAATGAGAGCTGCCTTCCACTAAGAGGGGACGTTCACCGTCACTGGGACGCTTAATGGAAATGAGCCATTGTTACTGTTATTAAGTCAAGATGTCTGCTGTGCAATCAGTCCACTTAATGGTGTGTGTGGGTTTGAGTCCAAATAAACTACAGTGTGTGTGTAATTAAGGAAAATGTCACCTACTGCAACAAAGTGGCTCATTAATGTGTTTTTTAATAGTTTTTGGACAACAACGGAGCTCTATGGCACAGAGGAGGAAGCTTTATAAGGGAAAAAGGATAGGTTTATTCTTTTTCTGGGATTTGTTGACAGTAAGAAATGTCCTGTAACCTTGTCTCATCCTTTTTTGACATCCTTTAATAACTGTGTGGCGTCACCTGATTTCTGTTGTGGCTTCAAACTTAACTTCACCGCTGACGTCTGAAGTTGCCTCGTGTAGCATAAATCCTCGCGTAAAGCTTTTGTTTTCTTTTGTTTTTCCAGCAGCTGTAGCTTTGTTTGCAGAAGCTTTTGTTGTAACCTGTAAGTGACATATAACTGACAACACAGTGACAAAGAGTGTAGTGCTAAAGAAACCTGAGGGGTAAAAAAAGCCCCGCCTTCCACAAGAGGAGTCGACCTCGCCACGACTTTAGGATTGTCAAAGCCATTTGTTTCTTTTTTTTATTTATTTCATTTATTTTATGAAATAAATAATTGTGTAACCTGACTGCCTCTCTGCCTTTTATTTCCCCCTCCACTGGGTGGCGCAAGTTTCCAACAGCAGGTGTTTTCTGAATTACATAATTGAAACTATTTGCTTTTTAATTTTAATGTTTTTTATCAGGATTTCACAGGGTTTTTTGGGCCCATAATACCTGATTTAATAGCAACTTTTCTAAAAAAAAAAAGTACAATGCATGCTGCTTTTAGGAAGTTTTTGCAATAAAATTGGGGGGGAAAGTGATTTTTTTTGTATAATTCATTAAAAATCAAAGGCAACTCCAATTACAGTGAGAATAAAATTGATAGTTTGGTGACTCAATGTTTTGTGGGGTGCCATGATTGGTGAAACTTTGCAGATTGCAGATTGGTTGAATCTGAGTTAATTATTACAATCTCAACCTTCCTGGAGGGGCTGAGTCAAAAGGCATTTTTCCAAATACAAATATATTTCCAAATCTGACCAATAACGGATCATTAAATTAACTAATTGATTGATGATTTTTGGTGATTTTTGTTGGCATACATGGTTAAATAGGGGAACAATATAACAGGATTTCACCTGGACTTTAATGCTTGAAAAAGTGTGAACCGGTCCTTTAACTGCTTCTATATCATATATAATAGATACAAATGCAGATATAAAACATTTAAACACAAACATTTAAATGCTTTAATTAGAAATATGTAGGCCAAGATCCATGTGGAAGATAATATAATAGGATAAGCTCCGCCCCTACTTTAAACCGGGAGAAACATATTATTTATCATTAATATATTCTGATATCAGATCAATACAGTATGATTTTACTAGGTTAGAAAGTACACGTGGTGGCGGCTATAATTGGCCCGGTAGGCGGGGACAACACCGCCAGCACCGCCCTCCCCGCGGGCCGCCCCGGTACAGCACATGTCTCTCATGTGCTTCTCCTCTTTGTCTCCGCCCAGCTCCTCCTCTTGTTATGAAAGCAGAGCAGTGGGTGTGATAATCGGGAGTCTTCCGGGCTGCAAGGCTTTACAAACTGGTAAATATGATTATTATTATTTAATATAAACATTAACACACGCATATATATATATATTTATATATTTATTCTCTGTGTGCTTTCCTTTCTTACTGTCTAACATGGTGTTGGTGTCTTGTATTGGGTGCAGTAGATGGCACTGATCCTGCAATCCCACATACATAACATGTAAGACCACAGCTGCACAGTGAGGACACAGTGTTCCCTCTGTTTACTCCAAATGAGACAATTATTCATGCATTTTAACTACTTTACCCTGTTGATTCACGTGCAACCACAATGCAGTTAAATGGGGTTTTATATATTAAAGAGCTGCACTGAAATTCAACATACTTGCTTTAGTTACTCGTTACTTTACTCGTATGTATCTTCACATTTGGTGGTTTTATTTCCTGATAAACTGAAGGATTAAATGTTCCTTTATGGGTTGAGTTAATTTTCCAATTTCTTCTGGTAAATAAACCTTTTAAAAACCCTTTTCACTGTAAAACCACATTAATAATTAAACTAATTTAACTTAAAAAACTGATTACATCACATTTTTAAAGTAAAAGTAGGTACATTTTGGTGGCTTTAGTCATTTAAGTGACTTAATTTTGTCATTTTTATTNNACAAAATACCTAGTAAAAAGTTATGAATCAGGAATGTTGGTGTACCTCACAAAACCAACTTAGTGCCACCTAACATTACTAGTAAAAGAGTATATTGTTTTACTTAAAGATTTTGATGTAATCAGTGTCAACAATGTTTGAAGTTAAAATAATTTACCTGGTTTTACAGTGTTGGACTAGCTGGAAAATGTCACAAAGTTTAGCTCATCAAAAGCATCGCTGTAGATTATTTATAGTACATAAATGAGTTAAAATAAACTCAACTAGAGCAGTAAAATGCAACATAAACATTAATGCAGCAATAATAATCTAAAAACATCATATAAAACACTGAAAGGGACAGTTTACTGCACAATGAGTACTTTTACTTTTAATACTTTAAGTCAAATTTACTGAAAATACTTTTACTTTTTGAATGCTGGACTTGTAGTGCAGTGTTTTTCACATTGCAGTATTGCTACTTTTACTTAAGTAAAGGATCTGTGTTTTTATACAAGTAGCAGCAAGTAGTTGTAGTTCTGTAGTCTTGAACCGCAGTGTCAGGTCTCTAAAATATCCTAAAGAAAACTCTTAATTTGTCTGGTAACTCTCAGCAGCAATAAAAAAAAAAGATAAAAACCGCATAATAAATATAAATATGAAGAGCTAGTTCTTATAACTATATTTAAAGTGGTAAAGACACTTGGATGAGACAGGTAAACAGTGACAGTGCAAATGTGCTTTCAGTGTTGTAAAATGGTGTAAAATATATTGCACGACAATAATAATAATAATACATTTTGCACCAGTCTTTATATTAAATAGTTTTACCTTTTCTGAAAGTACAAAATACAATAAAACATACTGGTCCCACCTTCTCCAATGCAAATATTTGCATATATCTTATATTATAGTCAATTAAATATGTAGAATACACAAAAAAAACTGTGTGTACAACCAATAAGGGGTTATAAGAAGCTTTTTTTTAAGGAGTCACCAGCCAAAATCACTAATGAGTCCTCCTTTAACGGCCTTTTCACAAACACGTTCTTTATTTTCCATGCAGATCCACTACAGTCCACAATGCTTCGTGTCACCACTGCCTCCCTGTGCACCTGCAGCCAGCGGATGAGGCTCCTCCTGCCTCCCTCTGCCCCGTCCTCCACACTGACCCCCAACAAAAGACTGGAGAACCAGCACACCGTGGACTCCCTCTACGAACTGTCGGTGGACATCCGGAAGGTACGCAAGATCAAGGGCTGGATTCTGTCTGAGAGCTCTGCGTACGTGTCTGAGACGGCCGACCTGCTGAGGGACATGGGCGCGGACACACCGGTGATCGCCCGCATCCTGGAGACCCACCCCGAAGCCGTCCTGTGTCGGCCGGAGGACGTGGCCGCCCAACGAGACCTTTGGGTGTCTGTGTGCCCCAACAAGCGTGAACTGATGAGCATCATTGAGAAGTTCCCAGCGTCCTTCTTCACACTAACTCACCATAGCAACCAGCGGGCCAACATCCTTTACCTGCAGAGTCTTCGCCTCAGCAAGAGAATCATCGGCAAGCTGATGGCCAGCGCCCCGCAGAGCTTCAGCCAGCCTGTGGAGCGGAACCAGGAGGTCATCCACACCCTGAGGGAGACCTACCTGGACCTGGGCGGAGATGAGGTCAACCTGCGCCTTTGGCTGCAGAAGCTCCTCAGCCAGAACCCGTACATCCTCCTGCGACCGGCTGAGGCCTGGAGGGACAGTCTGGGCTTCCTGAGGGAGCAGGGCTTTACCACGGAGGAGCTCCTCAGCCTGGTCTCAAGCCTCAGAGCCTCCATCGCCGAGCTGCAGCCGGAGGCCATGCAGCACGCTCTGGCCTACGTCGAGGAGGCTCTGGCCTGCTCCAAGGACGAACTCAAGCAAATAGTGATCCGCTGCCCAGCCATTTTGTACTACTCCTTGCCCATCCTAGTGGGCCGGTTCCAAGGACTGATGGATGTTGGAGTGAGCGTGGAGCAGGTGAAGGAATCTCCAAATGTCCTGGAGCTCACCACGCAGATTGTGCTCTATCGCGTCCAGAAGCTGGCGTCCTATGGGTACGACGTGCGCTCTGGCAGCCTGGACTTTATCGTTGGGACCAAGAAGGACTTTGAGATGAGTTACGGCAGGCTGCACCTCAGGCAGCAGCGGCCGCTCTTCAACCCCGTAGCTCCCCTCAAGTCAGAGGAGTGAATGTCAGGATGTGCTGCTGCAGTATGCGGTTATATCGGGCGGGTTCGTGGGGAAAGAAGTTTTATGAATGTTGTTTTCATGCAGATTTTGAGAAATAAAACCAATCTTTGTGCAAGATGCATGAAGAATATATATAATATATATATTATATAATATATATAAAATACGTGGTCATTTGATTTGATGCTCAGGCCTCTTGTGAAATTATGACACTGACTGTTTTCTCAATTATAGCAAATAAACTTTTTATATGATCAAGTATGTGAAGGAACATACCGACAAACATTGTAATAGTGACGCCAAATGTTGCCTGTTATTCTTGTTTACTACTGTAATTAACAAAATGATTAACTGAACATGTCTGATGAGCAATAAAAGCCATGTCTAAACTTTTTAAAGTGTCTAAAAGCTGATTTTCTAGCACAAACTGTCACTTCAGTTACATTTAAACGTGTTTTAGAGTAAAACCAGAGCACCAAAATCTAAATATTTGACTGTTTCCAACTCTTCAGCTTCAAAGAAAAGACTGAAACCAGTTTTATATTTAACTCTGTCTTTAATTAAACAAGCACATTGAGAGGAGACATGAAGCAGGTGAAGCGTTTCTCTCCAGGGGTACATTTATTAGGGGATTGTACAAGGGGGGCACCATGATATGAAGATTCTGTATTCCTGTCGCCTTTTACTCATACTGATATTGCCGCTACAGTGGTGAGGAATAAAACAACTAGCACTGAGATAGAGGAAGGAAATGGTCAAAACACTTGATGATAGATACACTAGATGGCTCGAATGGGAAGTGAAATAAATGAGATGGACAGGCAGCTGTATTAGAATAGATACAAGATTTCTTACCATTTGTTTTTGAATGGACGGTCTATAAACGCTTTCATTATTTTATTGAAAATTGTCCAAAAAGAAAGATCCATCCACAATTTCTCATATCAAAAATATATCAATGGGTCTATGGCTACACAAAGAGAGAAAACACACATACAATATCCAAATATGTACAAGTTGTATGTGAGCAGATATTAGCAAATCCATTATATACACAAAGACTTTTGTCCCGGCAACATGAACCCAAACGTAAGCACAGTGTAACAGCCGCTCCAGTGCTGTCGGCACTGGCCCCCGGGGGCCGTGCAGTCCACGTGATAATATACAGTCCCATTACTCGAGAGAAAACTGGTGAATGTTTTGAATGGTGGGCTCCTTTGCTCCTCCTCAAGGTGTGTTCATGCAACAGTGTAGTGCTGCAACAAAAACCAAAGTCTTTGTGTCCATTTTGTGTTGGGCTGTGTACACGGTGTGACTGACAGCGGAGCCTGCAGACGCTCCTGTGAGGAGACACAAAGGACACACACAATGAAACATCTGTCTAATAAATGCAGTTTCAGCAATTAACTCCTGATAGATACTAAATAAACTCGGGAAGATATATCGACTTCATGTGATACTTTTAGGAAAAGGAAATACTTTGACCAGTAAACATTAATGACGTCTTAATTAGAGAGCCACTAATGTGATTATGTGCCACTTAAAGGATATTCTTCTCTGTAGTTCTTCTCAACAAATTAAGTCTATTAGTTTAGCCTATTGATCTTTCAGCATTACCACAAGTTAATAAAGACAACCATCATTAAATACACTGAATTATTTTGCTGTTTGCAATAAAACAACAACACTAAATAGACAACACAATTTAAAATGTGCAATTATCTTAGAAAAACTAATATCTCATATCACAAAGTCTTTTAGGCGTCTGCACATGTTGGAGAAATCCCATAAAAAGACCAAAATCCTATTGACAAGTATCTTTCCGTGTGGCAATTTTAAGGGGAATATACACAAAGAAAATTCCTCTTTTCAAATCAATAACAACTTCTAGTTAACATTTATGTTGTAGTATTAACAGAAGCACTGAAAACATCAGTATCATGAAGCAACTAACCTTTCTAGTGGCTGCTCTGTCTCTGGACTTTAGAGCCTTTGCCATTCCCAGACTCCTCGCTGTGCCGCTTGACGCTGATCTGAGTGCTGCAGTGGTGTTCGGGTCCTGGAGAACAGAATAAAAATGACAGCACAGTTTAGAAAGCGGCCCTGAAAATAAGTTCTACTATCTCTGTATTGGACTATAAAGCATGGTTGATCAGTTCTCACCTTTCTGAATTACAGCACTGGGAATCTGCTGTGAGCCTTGGGCATAACACATCACACTGGCACTGGTGCCTGCGTAACCTGGAATTCAAGGATGATTCAAGGATTAGCAGAGAAGTTATTGAGTGCTGTGTGAAAACATAAGGGTGAGAAATATAAGAAAACAAGTGGTATTTAAACGTGTCCTCACCCTGCTGGTGTGTGATGCTGGTTTGTTGATCGCCCTGCATGTACATCATTACACCGCTTTGCCAGTTTTCCTGGGAGTGAACCGGCATCTGATAGGCTGTGAAAACAAAACAGGAAATAAATCCACTGACAGACAGTATAGAGGAAGTTAGAAAAACAGAACTACTGTAGGAGTTATGTTCGCTTACCAGATGAAGCTGCGGCATTGTGCGAAGCCTCAACAGGGAATCCCGTCTCACCGTTATGGTTACCGTTAGAGTTGGATGGAACTGTAGCCAATAGACCTAAAGATAAAGACAACAGTCATCAGCTTTACAAGGTTTTTTTCCAGTTTTAATTCCACTTGACCTAAATCGAAGCCCAGCGTCCTCAGTCAGGTTCTTGTTGGCTGTTTTAAGATCATATTTTTAGCATTTTGCCTCCATTGGAAAGCTGGAAAAGCTCTTTATTGGTCATTTTCTGTCCTAAACAGATGACTAGGGATGTAATGAGTCAATACAATTCCTGATAGTGGGATCACGGCATGAATTTCTCATGATTTTTAAAAAATAATCTACAAAATATATTTTCTCTCATATTTTCTTTATCAAATTAAAGACTCCTTTTTTATTTCTTAAGGTAAACTTGCCAAACACCTTGGTGGCACATCAAACAACCAAAGTCAGAAGTAGAAAGCGCCCTCTGCTGTTTAAAGTGTCGCCATTCAATATTCATTCATTCAATATCTCTTTTGTTCTTTATATTCTCGATGCCAAAACCTGCCTGAGGAGTTGAAGCTTTTTTAACCTGCAGTTTATTTAACTCAATTTCTTAACACTCACTTTAATGTAACAGTCTTTTAGGAAAATCAGGAAACTATCACTGATCCTTGGTGGATAGCTTCATATCAATATTAAAGATGTCTGAGAGAAAGGACTCTCTGTATCTAGTGTCCTTACCGAGGCCTCTGTAACAGGAGAGCTGCTGGTAGATCTGTTTCATTCGCTCAATGTTTAGCCGGCTGGACTCTGCGTGGTTCACCATGGGCTTGGGGTAATGCACTCCAATGATACATTTGGCTGCCTTCTGCACGCTCTCCGGAGCGTTCCAGGGATCATAAATATACTTGGCTGGAAAGCCTCTCAGAATGGGCAGGTAACGCCTGAGTGAAGAGAGGGAGAGGTTTAGTGAGCGGGAAGGGTTGATTCATTGTCACGTCAAGCAGAAACATCTCAAGATCACGTCTACTGACGTGGAATTAGCCAATACTGATTTATAAGAACGCACCACAGCCTATCACGCACTGCGGTTCAAACTGGTAACAAATATAGGAACTGGGTGGACGTCAGCGTACCGTATGTAATCTCCATTGGGGTCTGTACGTCGGCCGAATCCTACAGGGCAGTAGCAGTGGAAGAACTGCTGGAAGAAGGCACTGCAGGACAGCCACATCCAGCTGCCAGCATTTACACTCCAATCGGCATCCAGCAGCAGCTCCTCAAACACCTGAACACACAAACAAGCCGTGTAAGCTGAGTATTCGTCATTTAGAAACTGCAGCGAGAAGAGTTTTCTGGAGGTAAAGAGCACGACATCTTTGGGATGCATGAAGACTTCAAATCTTGGTGTAAATTTAAAAAGAAAACAAAGAAATCAAAGAAATCGACATACTTTAACAGTTTAAAAACAACAAGGTCTACCTTCATGCCCTCCTCCCAGCCGATCCACAGGTCTCCTCTGGTCAGGAAACAGGCCACGGCGTGTCGGGCCAGGTGGTGGATCCAGCCCTCTTGTCTCAGCTGGGTCATGATGGCGTCGATCCAGGGGAAGCCGGTCCGGCCCTCCGCCCACTTGGCCAGCGCCTCGGGGTTGCGGTCCCAGGGGATCTGAACGCAGATGGGGTTGCTCTCCATCTTGTCGAAGCAGGGGTTGTTGGTGGCTGCCGTGTAGAAGAACTCGCGCCAAAGTAGCTGACCGTAGAGCGAGAGAGGAGGGGAGCTGTTCTTCTTCACCTGGTGGGGTTGGAGAAGGGGCAGGAAGCATGTTATTGTCTTGGGGAAATCACAGCATTATCATATCCAAAGAAGTGACTTTTTCCTCAATAATACTTTATATTTCTTGACTGTAAACATTTGCACTGGAGTCTGAGTGTACCACATCACACCTCGAGAGGGAGGCAGAGCAACAAAGCAAGACTGCTGTGGGTAATTCACTACTGGGAACCATTAGATGGTGCTATAAACTACTGGAACAGTAAATCAGACTTTCTGAAGAGGAGAAACCCTTCATCAGCAGGTTCATGCAGCTTTTTAGGAGGACAATCCAAGCACTAACAAAGTAGCTAAACCAAACATTTCCAGACTCTCTAAGCTTTTATTATTACACAGAATTCCTTTTAACCACAGCAATCAAAGTATATTGTCACTTTGTTAATTCTACCAGCTGTACATGTTTTGTTGCTTTTACTGGGGTTTTTGACCATGATTATTTAATGGATGCCAGTTTCCAGGGTAAAGGATCTAGCTATGAATGCCAAGTGAACATACCAGGAGACAACAAACAAATATGGGCATATTCCTAACCTTGAAAACATAATGGTTAAAATGAAGAATTTTCTAAGCTTTCAAGACTGTTCGAACCCTGTATCAGTTTCTATTAATCCAAGGCTGTCCTCTCTTTTCTCTCACTGAAGTGAAACATTAAATACTTCCACTACACTATACATGTGTAGTCTCAGTACTCACTACTATGATTTATTACACTTCTGTCATCTTCTATCTATCATATACTGTAGCATACATATATTTATATCTCTATAGATTGTCATATATTGTATTATAATGTACATATTTATTTATTTTTTACATATATTTCTATTTTATATGTATATTGTGTTAAATATTGTAATACAGAAGCTTAACTTTCCATATTATTCATATTTCTATTAGAATTATCCCCCGGGGATTAATAAAGTATTTCTGACTCTGATTTGTCCAGGTAAATTTTAATCCGTCACATACTCACATAATCTCCTGTCAACGCTCGAGGAAAGGCAACAAAGGGAGAATCATTTTCTCTACCAGTAAACATTTTTCAGCTTTAAGCTCCTCATCATATCATGTGACAACGTTAATTCGCTGCAGCTTTACTGGTCGGGTTCTGCAGTTAAGATGTCAGGAGGAGTTTTCTACTTCTCTCGTCAGGACTTTATTTCCTCCAAAACCACCAGTTAGTTACAAACAACTTGTCTTAACGTGACAGTGTCACTCTGTAGGAGCCAGTACAGAATGTGTGTTTGTCTACTCCTAAAATACAATATGACCTCCAACTTATCGTCTTATATTCAGGCCAATGCGCTAATTCATCCATTCTTTGACTTACCTTCTTGTAGAGGTCGGTGAGTTTGAAGTAGAAGAGGCGACAGGAGAGGCAGCCGAAGCGCAGGTACGGGCTGAGGCCCGTCGGGCTGGCGAGCAGCGAGTTGGCGTTCATTCTGGGACGCTCAAAGTTGGCCACCCAAGCCTGATGGAAACACGGTCACACAGTCAGATAGGAAACAGCATGATAGCACGATGTTATGTGATATGACGAGGTTTCTGTCAAGGTTGGCACAATGGGAAGGAAGCAGCCAAATCTAGAGATTTATCTAACATTCTTCTATCTAACTTTAGCATGATATGATTAAAAAAAGGCTGGTATCAAACTATAAATCAACCAAAATGCTGAGAAATGTCATCAAATGTTTAATAAAGTGTTGAACGTGTTTTTCTTTTGAATTACAAAACAATAGGTACATTTTTATTTCCTCATCTGGCTCTTTTCTGATTTGACTGACCTTCCTCTCTAAATGCCTCTCAAGTCTCGTGAGGGCTTCAGTCTCTCCCCCCGGCCACACAGCTGAGGACAGACCTTCAGTATCGAAACCTGCAGAGATCACATAAAAACAACACACATTAACATTCAGCCGGTAACGTTGATTCAGGTTTATATTAAAGCTTTGTGTCTGGCCTCACTCACCCAGCTCCTCTAAGGACGGGACCCCAAACTTGTCATCGTGGTCTTCGGACAGCGGCGTAGTGCATTTTCCCATGACTTCGGCCGTGATGGACTCCGCAGGCACCTCGACTGCATCCATACGACTGATGAGGGTCTGGAACCGCTTGTAGGTGAGAGGGGACTGACCCCCATTCAACTCTATGATCCTGGGGGAGTGAAATGAGCAGAAAGAGTTAAAGAGACCTGACAGACACACGGGTGAAGCTGTTTTACAGGTGGTGGTGAGGGGTGGCGTTAACTCACTTGTCCAGGTCATAGAGTGTGTGGGAGATGCGAACTGTCACCTCCACTCCAGCCTCAGAGGCCAGTTTCTTGATAGCTGCATCTCGCTCTTTCCCAAAGGGCTCAGAGTCGTACTCATAAGACAAACGAGAAATCTTCCATTCCTGGAGAACAGGGAAGAAATAAAAACTAAACAAGTCAACAACAGAATAAAATAAACAGGCTTTGCTCAGCATGTTTGAAGCCATCTGGAGCTTTAACTCGATGGTTAAATCAGATGTTACCTTGAAAAGTCTGGGAAAGACATCAGTGGGTTGGCCTCGTATCACAAACAGTCGAGAGTTGAGCTTACGGAGGCTTGAGTCCAAGTCCTCAAGACTCTGCAGTAAGAACCTGGAGGACGACAGGGGTACAGAAAGAGAGGTTCAAGTGCTGCCAGTAACAACATACAGCTGTCAGAAGTGACGTTGAAGCGGGACAAAAGGGACATCATGTGACAGAGAGAGAAAACGCCTTTGTTTGGGTATGACGGGGGAAATGAGTTCAGGTTGTTCTGGCTTTGATACGACATGAAGCAGCAGTTTCAATTCAATCTGCTCTCTGAAATGCTAATTTTATGCAGCAGATTCTCTTCAGACGACTGACTCCGAGCATTCATTTTCTACAGTAGAAATCAGTGTTCAAAACAAGGAGCTGACACACAGGAAATCTCCCAAAGTTTGAAAAAAGTAAACTCTCTTTTGTCCTCCCGATGGAGCTGAACACGTTGGTTCCTGTTGTACAGAACAACAGCGGCGCTCTGCGTAGATTTGTGGTGTGAATATGCAGATTTGATTCAGCTCTTCCTCTTGCAGAAGGTGAAAACACAGAGGCAAAGCCAAAGAGAGATGCCTTTTCCATTCATGTTTATGGGAACTGGCTGTGTTTAAAGTGCTGTGATATAATGTCCAGTCTGGGGGATGACAATGTGTCTGCCAA